TTCGCCCTCACCACGTGCATCCTGCCGCTCATCACCCCCGAACTCATGCTCGTACGCGCACGACCACCTTCGCAGCCGCAAACGACCCATTATTCACATCCCAAAACTGACGACGGCACACGCACACGCACACACGCACCATCGCACACGCACACGCGCGCACGTTGACACCACCGCACACAATCGCACACGCACACAGTATGCGAAGGTGAGGGATGGGTACTACAGTGTGCTGTGTGGGCTGTTTGAAGAGGCGCCGCGCAGTCTCCTCGCGCTCCAGGCGCCCACCTACAGCATGCTCCTGGCCTCCCTCAAATACGCCCTCCTCTCGTACGTCAGCTCACTACACCACCGCACGCGCACCACACGACACCACCGCACACGCACCACCGCACACACAGCGTTGCTCACATGTGTGGGGCTGTTCACCGACATCGTAGGACGGACACGGATGTGGCGCGTCGAGGCCTGGAGACCCTGTGCAGCGTGTGCACGCACCACTACCACGCGCGCACCCACAACTCGCTTCCCTCTGCGCCCTCGCAACCTCTCCCCGCCGAAGCGTACGCACACCAACACCACCGCACGACACGCGGGTGTGTGTGTGTGTGTGTGTGATGAATGACACGCGTGCGTGTCGTGCAGTGGGCAATGCATTGCGGGCGGCCAGCAGGTGGTGGCCGAGTTGCTGCAGCTGCTGTTCGACCACATCGTGCTCTCCTCGTCGACGGCCCTCATCTCGCCTCGCCTGCTCCCGCAGGCCTGCAATGCCCTCTTCGGCACCATCTGCTGTCATCAGGTCCGCACACGCCGCACACACGACACACACGACACGACACTCACCGCATGCACGCGCAATGCAGGAGCTGTTCAAGCAGCTGGTCGGGCAGGTACTGGACAAGTGCCCGCCGCAGGCGCGACAGAAGGTGGCCCACGAGTTCGAGACGCTGGTCTCCGCCGACGGGCTCCAGCTGGCGCTCGACGAGGCCAACCTCAAGAAGTGGCGCAAGAACGTCGTCGCCTTCCTCCAGAACACCCAGGGACTCCTCATCTTCCACAACTCGGCCTGATTTTAGCTCCGGCACATCATTACACCATTTATTTGCTTCGTCTTCGTTCTTTCCTTCTTCGTCTTCGTTCTTCATCGTCTTCGTTCCTTCCTTCGTTCTCATGAGCCGGAGTTGACGGTGCCGTGGGCGCGGAGGGATTGCTCGAGTCGTCGGGCGAGAGAGGCGTCGAGGACCACCTCCACCCGCTGCTTGGACCCGGCCTGCCGCTTCCCGACGCTGTGACACTTCTTGGCCTTCTCCACGAGCTCCTCTCGGTCGCTGGCGTCGGTGAAGTGCAGCTTGAGCGACAACGACGACGCCTGTCCCCGCACAACACAACACGCGCTCAATTCTCTACCGCACACGCACACACCACGCACACGCACGATCGCACACGCACCTCGGCGCGGTGCTGGAGCAGAGTGGCGCAGCGATCGTCGGCAGCGTCGTCGATCTGGGCGGCGAGTTCGGCTTGGCGCTCGCGCAGGGCACGGCACAGGGCGGCCTCGAGCGTGGTGAAGTGTAGGTGCAGGTTCTCCTTGGCCCGCTCGGCCTCCTCCTCGACCCTTTGCGCGCGCGACTCGAGCCTGTTCGACAGCACCTTCAACTTTGACGCCAGCTGTGCACCGCACGCACGCACCGCACACGCTCGTCACTCCCAATCGATGCATGCGGCGCGCGTGTGGGGCTGACCGTACCGACGCCTTTCGCTTGGCCTGCAGTTTGGTCTCCTCCTTCTCATTGGCCTTGATCTTGGCGAACGAAACACCAATTTTTTATTATCAAACGGTTAATGAAAGGTAAAAGATGAAGATGAAAGGAGCTGCACCTTGTTCCTCTTCTTCTGCTTGGCAAAGGACACGGAGCCGCTTGATGACTTTCTCTGTTTGCCTGGTGTTGGGAACTGTTGTGGTGTCCCCCCCACCACACATATCACGTGGTGCACTATAAGAAGGAAGGGCGAAGAAGAGAGGTGGGTGCATCAGGTGAACTGGTGGCGAACCGCAGAGGGCAAGGGTATGGACTCGCGGCTCAAGGTTCGGCCCAACATCTGATTTAGTTTGTGGTTGTTGTCCTTGTGATGGTGATGCGTCTGTGTTGGTGTTGCACCACCTTGTTGAAGCTTCTTTTCTTTTGGGACATACAGTTGAGGATAGAAGTCACCAGATGAGAGGTGGTGACCTGTGTCCCCTCTGCACCTCATCTTGGGGGCCTGTATCTTTTTGGCTGAGAGGGGCGTTCATGACATTGTTTCGAGCGGGAACTCCTGCTCCCTTTAGCATGTTGAGCACAATACTTCCCTAAAGGGTGCTGCAGGGTGTAGAGATAGCTCTATGCCCCTTCGTTTAGCATTAGCCAATGAGCGTTTGGCCTTTTATGGTAATTGGCGTGTAAAAGAAAATGGTAAAGAAACGCTGTTCGTCATAAATCAAAATCAAATGTGGAGGTCACGCATGGGGCCGATTGAGGGCCGAGGTTGTGGCGTGGGTACGTCGTTTTCCTGCGGCACCTAATGAATGATTCCATCCACGCTGGCAGCTTTATTTTATTTTATTTTTCTAATTATACTACATATCAACCAAAGGCCTCCTTCGTCCACGATCCCTTCGCAGCAGCGCTGCCACTCTGCCGCTCCTGCCCAAGATGCCATCTTCCTCATCGTCATCATCAGTTGCGTACTACTCGACGGGCTTCAACCGACGCAAGCGAGAAGAGAGCAAGAAGAGACAAGAAGAAGAGCGACAGAGGACCCAACAACAACAAGACAGGGGAGGAGCCAAAGGCAACCAAGACGAGTGGCTGCGATCGGACGAGCGGACCGAGTCGCTGCGGGCCGGCGAGCGCCAGGTCCTGCGCCTGGGCGTGCCCTTTGCCATCGCCATCTTCATCATCGCCCAGGGCAGTACCCTCCTCTTCGGCGATAAGCCCTCTACAACCACCACCAAGGACACCACCGACTACGACAAGAAACTTCTCCTTGAAGGTGACGATGGGCGACATGGTGATGACCTTCTACTTAAAGAAGAAGAAGAAGGCGACAAGGAATGAAGTATTCAGTGGCCGCCAAAATCACGTGTATGTACATACATGCGGGGAGTACAAGATGATGAAGAAGAAGAAGAAGAGGAAGGTGAAGAGGGAAAAGAGGTTAGTCGGTGTGGAAATGTTGCGAGCTGGCGATGAGCTTGTAGCTGTAGTAGAGCACCGTCACGCCCGACGCCACGAGTCGCCACCAGACCGCCACCGGCTCGATGTTACCTGCCGCGCGTTCATTGTCACCTCCTCGTCAGTCGACAAAAGAGGTGGAAAAGAAGAAGAAGAGAAAGAGAGGTACCGGTCGTGGTCAGGATGAGCTGAGTGAACATCATGATGGCGCCCGCGGCAAACACGTTTGGTCGAATGCTGATGTTGGGGTCGTTGGCATGCTCGTCGCCCGACTACACCACACATTACAGGCATGCGTTAGCCGAACACCCGTGTGGATGCCTGTCGTGTGTCGAGCGCGGTGCGTACCTTGTCAATGCTCAAGAGCCAGCTGTCGTCATCGAGAGGTAGCGGGAACGGAAGACTGATGAGGGTGATCATGGCGATGACCGACGAGATGAGGAAGTCGACCGACAGCAGGTGGTTCACGTTGTTGAACGTCGTCATTCCGATGAGCGACGTAAGAAACGGCTCTCCATCACTGCCACACACACACACACGCCACCGCACACGCACATCAGCCCTCATGCTCTGCTTCTGGTCCAATGGTCGGCGGCAATGTACGTACAGTGATTCGAGTCCGGAGGTGCTGAGGGCCTCGGTGATGGTGACCCGCGCAAAGAAGGCGAGGAAGAGCGAGACGAGGGCGATGTCGGTGATGATGGCCTCCTCGATGATGACGTTGGCCACCGTCAGCCCCACCAGCACGGTGCAGATGATCGACAGATAGCTGGACAGGCCCACGGTGAGGTTCTCGCGATAGAGGGAGTAGACGATGACGCCGGCCAACGCGTAGCTCACCACGCTGATGATCAACATCAGCACCTGACGATCGTTGCCGCACACAATGAGTTGCGCTCAAGTGCGTGCGCGTGTGTGCGTGCGGTGGTGCGTGTGCGGTAGTGCGTGTAAGATGTAGGCACCTTCATGGCGGCAGGGCGAGAGTACATCTTGATCTGCATGGCCTTGGAGGTGAACATGATCAGCGCACGACCTGCACGGCTTGCACGAGCAGGAACAAGGGGCCTGCCAGAAACGAAAGATGAGCGTTATGAAGAAGGAAGAAGAGAAGAGAGAAGATGGAAGTTACGGTACCAGACCAAGAGATGAAGAGGCCGTAGGTTGACTCAAGTTGCTTGGGCAGGTGAGGTTGCACGAACATGCCCAGAACTAACAAGATGACGCTCTGCATCAAGTACGCCACAAATCGCTGCACAACGAAATGAATCAGTTGAGGGAAGATGAAATAAATGCATCAATCCGCGCGTCTACGTACGAGGTTGAGGAAGAGGGTGGGCACAAACTTCTTGAGGCCGATGACGGTGAGATGAAAGAGGACATAGCCCATCGAGGATCGCAGCAGCAGATAGTACGAATATCCAAGCGATAACGGCAGAAGGCCAAGAGGCGAGAGGTAAAAGAAGGCATTGAAGGCCCACCCAATCAATCCAAGACAAAACATTCTCTTTCACCTTTGCCTCAAAGCCTGGGCGAGTTGAAGATGGAAGAACAGATTTGGCGCGAAAGATTCTGGTGCAATTTTATTTCCCTCCATTTTCTTTAGTGAATTATTTTCCTTTTGGTGGCAAAACAATCTATTTTCGCTCAGCCGTACACGACGTCCGAGGTGCGCATGTCGAGCAGGACGAGCTGGAAGATGTCCCACTGCGTGCGGTCGAGGAACTGCCACAGCTCCCGCTTGACCTCCTCCATGATGCCCTCGTCTCTTGTCTCACACATCGTCTGCGTGTTTCACCCGCGCGGACACATCGCACACACCGCACCCACCGCACACGCACCACGCACGCGTCAACTTCTTGCAAGCAGTCCCTTCGACAGTGAGCTGCCCCGTACCACGGCCGAATAGAGCGCAAAGTGGAGGCTGTTGTGCCAGCCGGGCACCGAGAGAAGTGGGTAGTCCTCGGGCTCGCCTGCACAACGGCCAGTGTGGACGGCAGCAGTGAGGCGATCAACAATCACTAGTGGAGATTGGGAGAAGGTACCCGCTGGTGGGGTGAAGAGGAGTCGGTCGGGCTTCGCCTCGCCGTCATCGCCGGTTGTCGGTGCAAAGTCTCGTAACAGCGATCGCGCCTTGCTGTATTGTTTCTGGGTCATGTGGCACGCAAGCCATTAGTGTCGGCGTTGTGTGCATGCATGAGGTGCGTGTGGGGGTGCTTAACGTCACACGACGCGACGCGACGCGACACGCTACACGACAGTGTGTGGAGGGGGAGTACCTGCAGGAGGTGCAAGAGCAGCAGGCACACCTTGGCGCTGGTGAGCGCTTTGGTGTAGAAGGAGTCCATGGGCATAAAGTACAGCGGCGGCTCCTTGCGGCCGGCCGCAGTGGTGGCTGTCGCCTCTGGCTCCGGCTCTTCGCTCGCCTCCTTCGGCTTCGGCTTCCTCTTTGCGTCCTTTGGCGGCGGGGACGACCCACCGACAGTGCGCCTCTTGCTTCCACTCCCGCCCCCGCCCGCAGCTTTCTTTTCATTGACGTCCACCTCCTCCAGATCTGGACGCGCGTTGATTGTCGCATGAGCTGATGCCATGTGTGTGTGTTGTGTGTGTGTGTGTGTGTGTGTGGTGTGTGTGTGTTCATGTGTGTGTGTTCATGTGTGTGTGTTCATGTGTGTGTGTGTGTGTGTGGTGCGCGCGCGGAAAGAGTACCGTGTGGATCAATGGCGAGCGAAGGGATCTGCGAGATTATGGTGTGGTACGTGGTGGCAGCCATGGCGTAGTCACCTGCAGCCGCACGTGCGTAAACAAACCGCAAAAGACACACAAAATAACAACAATAGAAAAGAAAAGAAAAGAAAAGAACACGAGCTCGGTCACGATGATTACGTTGGAAAAGGAAGCACCGAGCGGCGTGCTGGTAGGACGTGAGGCCTCCCATCGGGCTGTACTTCAGCTGCAGGCCCGCCGCCGCCTGGAAATAGGTCGCCGCCTCCATGTGCTTGCCCATTCTCTGTAGTCGGGCGCGTACATGACATGCGAGCGCGCGTATCGTGGGGTGAATCTGCGTGTTGTGTGTGTGTGTGTGTGTGTGTGTGTGTGTGTGTGTGTGTGGCGTCACATAGGTGGGATACCTCCAGAATGGACGCCATTTCGTAGTAGAGGGCACCTGCTTGGTTCTCCCTCTTCTGCGCCAAGTGTATCTGGGTGTACACGTGCGTGTCGTGTGTCGTGTGTCGTGTCGTTGGTCGTGTGCGTGTGCGTGTGAGTCGTACAAGGAAACACTGCGGTAATTGGCGGTGTGTGTGACGGCGAGTGGTACTTTGATGGCGGCCACATAGCAGTCGATGGCGTGCGCGACGTTCTCTTCAAAATTGAGCGACTTCGTCTCCTCCAGCTCCATCTGAAGGCCAAAGAACATGTGCCCTGCTCGCCTCACACAGATCAGCCACGACACACACGACACACACACGACACACACGACACACACGAGTACCGGCATTGATGAGGTGGTGGGCCTGCTTGGAGGGGTTGCCCAGGGCCTGCTCGCAGCGTGCCGCGGCCAACGTGGCAAACGCCACATAGGGGTCATCGCCCAGTCTGGCCGTGGCCACGAATGAGCAAAGCACGCGGGCGCCAGTGTAGCCAGAGTCGAGGGGGCAGGGCCTGGTACCGCTTGGCCTGGTCGATCCACGAGAGCACCTCGGTAAGGCCCTCTTCGGTGTTGGACCGCTGGTTGAACACGAAGCGCCTGATGTGCGTGCCCGTCATCAGCCAACCACGATTGGCACAATAATCGAACAGAGATGAAAGATGGGCACTGCGCACTTCTTCGTCAATTTCTGATGCAGGGTTTTGTAAGATTGAAGCAAGTGGTGGTCGATCAAGTTGGGCGACGGTTCCTCCTCCACCTCCGCCCCATCCAGCACCACCGGCACCGTCCCCGCCTCCATCTTCTCTTTCTATTGATTTATTCTTTTTGTACATAAAAACGAAAATTCTCGTTCAAATATTTAATTCCTTTATTTTCCTTGTGCGGTCCGGACCGTGAGTGTGCAGACACGACTAGGGAGTGAGGAAGTCCTGGGGGAGGTTGAGGGCCTGCTTCCAGTTGGCGCTCGAGCTGAGCTTGGTTTGGTTGAGCCCGATGACGCCGTTCAGGTCGGCGTGGGCGAAGTTGGCCCTGGCGACATTGGCCCCGGTCACGTTCGCTTCGCACAGCCGGGCGCCGGTCAGGTCCGAGCCCGTCAGGTCCGCATAGCGCAGGTTGGTGCCTGCACAAACGCGCGTTAGCCGCACGACATGCATCACCGCACACACCACCGCACACGACACGACACACACCACCACACGACATTCGCACCACGCAGATCGGCGTTGCGCAGGTCGCACTCGACCAGGCTGGCGCTGCCCAGGAAGGCCCAACGCAGGTCGACCCCGTTGAAGTCGCACTTGAAGAAGCGGGCATCGGACAGCGCCATTCCGCTCAGGCTGAACCGGCGCATGTCGACCCCGCTCACCTGCGGCTTGCTCTTGTTGATCAGCCGCACGAACTGGTCGTCCGACATCGTGATGTAGCGCTCATGCATCCTCTTTTCCTTCTCCTCCTTCTTCTTCACCACCGCCTCCTTCAGCACTTCTTCTTCTCCTCCTCCTTCTTTCAAGTTATCAGCTGGTTCCAGTACAACGCCATCGACGGTGTCAAGAGCAGCGACCAATCGGGTGAGGCCGAAGCGCTCGGCCTCCAGGCGCAGATTGGTTCGGGCCTCGGCCTGGTTGGCCGGGGGCAGGTCGCGGCCGCGCAGCCAGGCGAGCAGGTGGTCGAACGCGTCGGCGTCGCGACCGGCGAGCACGATGCGCCCGTTGGGGTCGCGCTCCAGCTGGCGCCACCCCTCACCGGCGAAGATCGCGGCCAGCACCGAGTCGGACTCCGACCTCAGCACCCCCACCCGCACGGCAAAGTGGCGGCCCCCGACGTCGAGCTGCACCACCTCCTCCTCTCCGTCCATCTCTATTAAATGAATGGAAAAAGTGAGGGAAATGCCATTTTCTTCTTCCTTTTCCAGTACGATGGCCGCCGTTACGGACGATCGGCTGCGCACCGAGATTGAGGGCATCTTCAACAGTGCCAAGGACTTCCGGTAAGATCCTTAAGCTTCATGGAGGCCTCCATGCATTGCTCTGTCTTATTATTCTTGAATTTACAACTTAATCTATGATTATGGATTGAGTAGGACGCTGTCGGTGGGCCAGATTTGTGGGGCATTGAGCGAGCCGGACAGCCTGGGCGCGGCGGCGGTGGAGGCCAACAAATCGCGGATACGCCAACTGGTGCTCGACGTCGGCAAGCAACAGGCCAAGGTACGCGCACGCACACACATCACCGTGCACACCGCACACGCACACATCACCACACGCACACATCACCGTGCACACCGCACACACGCACACGTCACTGCGATGCGCCACGACACGACACACGGCGTGGCACTGATCGGACGCGCACAGACACTGAACAGGAACAAGGGCGAGGGAGAGGCGACGGCGAAGAGGAAGAAGGAGAGCGGCGGCGGCAAGTACGACCACCCGTTCTTCGCGTCGTCGTCGGGCGACAGCCAACACCACGACGAGGACGAAGGCGGACAGATGGAGCACGAGGGCAGCGGCGGAGGAGGAGAAGAAGAAGAAGAAGAAGAAGTGCGGAAGCCAAAGACGACGACCAAGAAGAAGCAGAAGGAGAACATGAAGGAGAGGAAGGCAATGCCGCCAAGAAAGCTGATGACGGCGAAGAAGAAGAAGAAGAGATGGAAGCGAAGGCCCAGAAGGGAGGGAGGAGAAGAAAGAAGAGAGGGAAGGAGGAAGACAAAGAGGAGGAGGGCTCGCCCCGCGGCACCAAGGCAGCCGCTGCCAAGAAAAAGAACGAAGCCGGTGATGATGACGATGACGATGACAAGAGCGAAGACGAAGAGGAGGAAGAAGAGGAAGAGGAAGAGGAAGAAGAGGAGGAAGAGTCCGAGTTCGAAGTGGATGAAGAAGAGGCGGAGGAAGAGCGGAAGCCCAAGCGAAGAAGGCTTCGACTCGACGAGAACGGTGAGGAGTTGGATGAACGAAGGAGGAAGAGAAGAACGACGACCACAAAGAAGAAAAAGAAGAAGACCAAAGCGAAGGCCGCCACCAAACAGCTGCGAAGAGGGCGAGCAAGGAGGGCGAAGGCGACTTCTACAGCGACTCGGAGCTCAAGGAGCTCGGGCGAGATCGACGACGACGACGAGCGGGCGACTACCACCAGCAGCAAGCCGGCCGAAAAAAGAAAGAAGACGGCAGCGACAAAGAAAGCGAAAACGAAGAAGAAAGCGACGAGGAGCTCAAGCGAGGAGGGGGAAGAGAAGGAGGAGGAGGAAGAGGAGGAAAAGAAGAGTCCGGTGACGAAGGCGAAGACGCGCCTGGATCGGATCAAGAAGACGATCAGGGATTGCGGTCTTAGGTACGCGTACCCGCCCTGACGTAGGTCTCCCTCTGGAAGCTCATGTCTGGCGCTTCGTATGCGCGTGTGTGCGTGTGTCGTGTGTCTTGTGCGTGTGTGTCGTGTGTAGGATTCCTCCGCGTGCGTACAGCAAGGACGAGAGTGAGACGCTGGCCAATCTGCGTGCGCTCCTCCGCAAGCACGGGCTGAAAGAGCGCATGAGCAGGGTACACACACACACACACACACACACACACGCACGCACGCACACACGCACGCACGCACGACACACACACACACACAGAGAGATTTTGGGATGGTGTTTGAAGCCGCCGCTACTTTGTCTGAGGATGCTGATTGTGCCACAACGCAACGCAGGAGGAGAAGCAGCAGTTCAAGGTGAAGCACGAGTGGCGCCAGGCCGTGCAGGAGCTGGACACCAACCTCATCATCAACTCCCAGAGCAGGTACCATACCGACACAGTCTATTCTATTCTATGCTATTCATTGCTGCTTGTTCTCTTTGTCGTGTGCGGTCTTGACATCGCACACGCACACGCACACGCACACGCACACGCACACGCACACGCACACGCACACGCACACGCACACGCACACGCACACGCACACGCACACGCACACGCACACGCGTAGGTCGCGACGTTCGCGTAGGCCGGTGAAGTACACTTTCTCCGACGCGGAGGAGGAAGAGGATGAAGAGGAGGAGCGTTCGGGAAGTGGTGAAGAAGAGGAGGACAAGAAGAAGAAGAAGACGCGCAGCACCAGCCGCAAAGGGAAGCCGAACAAACGGAGGCGGGAGGACACCAGCGGTGAAGAAGATGAAGAAGAAGATCTGGGCAGCGGCGGGGAAGAGCCAAAGAAAAAGAAGGCGAAGAAGAAGATGAAGGAGGCCGAAGAAGACGATGATGAAGTAGAGGAAGAGGATGAAGAACCGCAGGGGAAGAAGAGGGGGGGAGGAACCAAGAGAGGCGAGCAGCTGAAGGAGAAGAAGAAGCAAACGACGCGGAAACGCAAGAGAAGGGGCGGAGACGACGACGAGGAAGAGAGCTCTGACTTTGAGCCCGCAGAAGAGGACGACTAGAAACAACAACAACAAGAATAAGAAGAAGGGTGTAATGTTGCGCTCTCTTTGTGCGAAACGAGTGTGGTGCTTGTGGTGCTGACGTCAGCGGCTTCGCCTCCGCGTCGCGGTGGATGGTGGTCATCGTGTGTGTGCTCTAGAGTCCAGTGTTGGTTCAGCCAGGGTTTGGGTGTGGGTTGTGCTGGCCGGTCGGAGCTGTACAGCTGCTGACACGTCTCAGAGGAGAACGCCTCGCCAGTCGTACCAGCCGGTCATCTTCTTCTTGCTCGTGTTGACCTGCCGCTGTGAGCCCACCTCCACTCGTGGCGTGCCGGGACCTGTCACGCACAAGTTGAACCATTAGCGCATGTCGTGCGTGCCGTGCGTGTCGTGCGGTGGCTGGTAGTCGGGACGTGACGTACCCTCCTTGCATCGGTGGAAGATGACCTGCCGCCAGGGCAGCTTCTTGACCTTGGCGTCGGTCGCCGACGCCGCGTTTTCGATGACCACCGTGGCCGATATGAGGGACTTCTCCGGCGCAAGGATCAGCCGTCGTAGCCAGTCGGCGCCGAGGTGAGTCGTCACCTGTGTGCGTGTGCGTGGGGCGTGCGCGTGTGTCGTGTGTGCGGTGAGTTTGGGAGAGCGAGGCGCATGTGTGTGCGTAGACGCGTACCCATTGGAGGCGCTGCGCAAGCACGTAGACGTCGTTGCCCAGCCACAAATACACGTCGAGGCCCTCCTCCACCATCTCGCGGAGCGCTTCCACGGCGCCCGGGAGCGGGTCGTCGCTGTCGCCACTCGGCTCGACCATGATGGACGGCACGACCGGTGACGCCGGGGCCGGCACGGCTGGTGTCGACGGGTCGCTCGATGATGACTGGAGGCCAGCAGCAACGTCGAAGACGAGGTTCTCGTAGTCGACGAGAACGACGGGTGGGCCGGAGTGGAAGGCGGAGAGGGTGAGCGACGAGGCCGGCTTCGGGCGGTCGCACTTGGGCAGGCCCCACACCGCCAGCGTTTTGTCGAACGAGCACGACCTGACAGAGAACGAAGCCCAATAACTTAAATTAATAATAGTTGCAATCAAACAAATAAAGAGCACGAAAGAAAGAGAAATAGAAAGAGCAAACCAGAAAAAGAAAGAGAAAGGAGGTAGGTAAGGTACCAGGCCTGCCAGCTGGTCGTCTTGTGGTCCCACACCTCGACCACCTGCCTGATGGCGTCGCCGTGGTACGGCGGCAGCTCGCCCAGGTTTTTGAATGTCTGCCAACCGGAAAAGTGCGGGTGAGCTTCGACTGCTGAACTGTTTGGAGGGTTCAACGGGGTACGGCGCACCTTGGTGTCCCACAGGCAGATGCGCTTGTCCCAGCCGAAGGTCCACACCACGGAACCAAAGTCGGCCAGGCCGTAGCAGTAGCCACTGTGGGCGTTCTGAATCTTGTACACCTCATCCAGGGACTGAACGATCAACGTGCGAGTGAGCTTTTCCGAGAAGGCCGTGGGAGTCAGGGTGCAACTGCGCGAGTGGATTGGACACGTACGTGCGCGTCCCAGATGATGATCGAGTAGTCATCGGATGCGGTCCACACGTGCGAATCGCCCACTGGCATGATGCCGTTGATCTTCCTCGAATGGGCGGTGAACTCTTTGACCAGCTCGAAGGTCTGAAACCGCGGATGTGTGCATGCACGTTTGGTGTACAGGGCGCAGGTCAGCGCTGGACGTTCAGCAACGCCAAGGAAATGGGGGAAGGGAGGAGGGGAGGAGGAGGGAACCAGCGTACATTAGCGTCGTAGACTCGCAAGACGCGATTGATGTCAGCGGTCCAGATTCGTTCGCCCACGGCCTGGGCCGTGAGCACCAACACACCGCGGGCCAGCTCCTTCTCACCAATCAGCTCCGGCGAATCCGGGTCCTGGTTTTATTAATTGTTTTTAATAAAACAATCAATAATAATAAAAAAATTGTGATCAGTGGATGCATGTGGTGTGTGATCTGCGGGGGGGAGGAGTTCACGTACGTCGATGTTCCAGATCGAGATCTTGTCTTCGCCGGTGGTCCACACTGTGTTACCCACGTGCGCCAGTGCGTAGACGGGACCGGGGAGCGACTTGACCAAATCGGCAGACTGATAAAGGGTCTCAAGTGTTAGCAAAGTGCGCGCGAGTAGACGTCTGTGGGCTGGTGCATAGTGGGAGCGACGTCTCAACGCGAATTGAGGGAGCAATACCGTGGCATTTCGGATCTGAAGCGACTCGCTGGTGCCGAGCCACATGTTGGCGTTGACGCACTTGAGGGCGTAGATGGTGCCGCCGCTGTTGATCTCCTTCAGGAACATACGGTCCTCGACGGAGTGGATACGCACGATACCCAGCGAGTCGCCGGACCACACCAGCCGGTGGTCGGACGTCGTTGCCATCGTTTGCACCGACTTACGATGACCCACGAACTTGGTCAGCAGGAACGCCGGCTGTACACGGTGACGAGAGATCAGCACAAAGAGCCCAACAAGAGGCCACGAACGTGCACATATGCGCATGGGGGGTGGTCGACCATACCGGAGGGAGAGAGGAGATTTCGAAGGAGGAGGTGGGCGTTTCGAACAGCTGATGCACGTTGTCGATCATGAACTGGGCCAGGGTGTTGATGCTGGCCATGAAGTTGAGCGAGACCATGCCGTCGGTCTGCGAGTTGGCCTGTTCCCACAAGAAATTGGGACCCACGACTCTGTTGCGTTGTACAACGAGATACGCGTATCAGCGATTCTGTGTGCGTGTGCGTGTGTCGTGCCACGACGAGCGTGGCCTTGCACCAAGAAAGCGAGCAGGCGAAACAGTACCGTGCCAAGTTTTCGGAAGTCATCATGTTGATGGTCCTGTTGACCTGGATTATGTGCAGGAGGGCCAGAATGGCATAGAGAGTGTCTCTGTTCACCTCGGGCAGGCAGTAGAGACACTCTCGGAGACCCTTTACCTTTTCCTCGAACGTGGCACCACCTTTGAGAGAGCGTGGGTTGTGGGTCAGTGACGCTGGAGTGTGGTTTAAGGTGAGAAGAAGCGAGGGAGGGGGGACTGAACCCATGACAGCGATGAAACGATCGGCGAGCTGTTCGGTGAGAAGGGGCTGGGGCAGCTCTCGCAGGAACAGCTTGAGCAAGCCCGTGGCCACGTGCGGGTCATCCGTCTTGCCGCGCAGTACCTCATCGCTACCTGCACCACACACAAGAGAAAAGGCACGACCGTGATCGTAAGCTGATCTGCTGACGGGAAGTCGTGCCGATGCGTCCCTGTCCATGACGAGCTCCATACCGTCAGACTTGTTGAATAGCTCCCTGAAGTGGTTCAGCTCGGTCTGGTTGGCGCTTATCCTGAAGATTCCTTCCAGCTCGAGCCCTGCATTGTGTTGTTGTTGTTGGCCTTCATTTAGCTCGTTGCAAGGAAGGGGGTCGCGCTACGTTCGCGCAACTTCCACCAAACGCGACTTTGTGCACGAGATTATTGTGTTTTCTGAATAAAAACGTAATAGAAAGAATTAAGCTAAAAAGGGGGCAGATGTTGGGCACCTGAGTTGAGGAGGTACTCGATGCATTGCTTGATAACCAGGGGGATGCGTAGCGTGGGGAATTTCAGCCGCTGGTTGAACATGAGCACCTCGAGAGCGACGCCGAACTGCCCCGCGCCCTCGCCGCTTTGGAAGATGCTGCGCAGGTCCTGCGACGAGATCTTGCCCGCCTCGGCGCTAGCTGACAGCCCTCCTGCGTCACAGCCCTTGGCCGATTTCTTTCGCTTCGCAATTGTCGATTTGTTCTTCTTTTCCTTCTTGCTCTCCTTTGCCTCGCTTGCTGCGCTCAGCAGGGCCTCGCTAGCCACATTGCCGACACCGCCAGCAGGCATCGAGGCCGATCTGTCCTTGACGCTGCTTCCCCTCTTCTTCGTGATGCCTGGTACGTACATGATGTTCCCCTAAAGTCTTCTAATTCTCATAAATGGTCGTAGAGTAGAATCACTAATTTCCTTGTCCTTCGATTCTCTCGTCGCTGTGGAAGATTGGAGGCTTCCAATTTCGCTCGGCCAGGTCTTCGGTTCGTGAATTGGATGAGAAGAGGTGATTGTGCCACAGGACAAGATGTTGCACGGAGAAACAAGTTGCCGTGGTCAAACCGAAAAAATTATTATAAATAATTCATTATCGAAATTCTTGTCAAAGCTAAATTCGGCCAACCAAGTTACCTGAACTCTTGACCTACAACAGTCACGCTGGAGGCACTGGATAACAACGTGTAAGTCCCAAACAGGCTTGCCCTCCTGTGTGGTTCTTCTCCTTCTACTGGAGCAGGGAAAAAGAACAGCTGACCACACAAAGAGTGAGTGTCACCCAAACAGCCTGTTCCATAAAGCCCAAGCCAGCTTGCCACTCAACCTTGCACATGCTCCTCTTTTTTTGTTCATTATGTTATTTTTCAGTTTCCTTTATTTTTAATTCAGGAGAACAAGCAGCTAAGGGACTGAAGGAGGCAGGGCAATTGAGGCAGGCTGGCCTCAGCAGAATCTGAACACAAGATGATCTGGATTCTGTGTGTTGTGCATGTGTGTGCGTGTGGTGGCATGTCCGCCATGGCAACTTGAACAGGAAACAAGAAAATTGGCAGGAAAAATATTTTTTTTTCGCCGTTGCGTTTAGGCGGGAAAACGTGGTAATCCGCATCAGATCGAAACCAACGCTCGGCCGGTGAGGAATTCACAATGGAACGCGCGATTTATGACCACGATCTTGCTCAGGCTTGGGCTGACGTAATTCTCCTTGCTGCAATGCAGCTCGATCGAAACCGTTCAAACAAAATTCTTATTCTTATTTCTTTTTCTGTGCTAGGCCTCAGATACGTCTTTTGATGGTGCCCCCTACAAGCACGACTACAGGGAAGATGCGTACGCCTCCAAACTTTCTACTCGCATTTTCTGGCCAATCTTGCTCAAACGATTACATTCACAATTTGGATGGCAATCGTGCAGGGGCTTCTGCAACGAGGATAACATGGCAAACAGTGCCATGTACCTGAACAACGCACTCTCCCTCCTGGGCATCTCTTCGCCGATCGAGGACATGCTCAAGATGGCCGACAAAGCCCTGCCGCTTACTCCCGTCACCATCTCGCAGGTCTTCAACTGCATGTATACCCTCTTGCGGCTGCGCCAGGTACGCTCTCGAGATGCTTCTCCGTCTTCCCTGGGCCTTCCTTCCTCTTCTTCTTCTTAGCAAGCGTACCGCTGTGGTGATTGTACAGGACGCTCAGCAGCAGCTCGAGAGAAAGGCCGATGACCTCGCGGTGTCCCTTTCACAAGAACACAGACTCGCCGCCGAGAAGGTTCGCCTCTACTGTCTTTCTTCTTCTTCTTGAGTGATCTGAAGCTGATTGAGCAGTTCTTGCCACTGCACTCGACAACCAACGTGTCGAACCCACACGCAACACACAGAAACGACTAAAGGATAGAGTGGACCAGTTGGAGCGCGAGACGGCCCTGTGCCAGGCGCGCGAGAAGTCCCTCAAGGAAAACACGGATAAAGAAAAGGCCAAGTGGAACCTCGAACGACAGGAAACACGCAAACAGCTTCTCGCTCTCCAGGGAAAGGACACCCAGTATCTGGTACAACACACGCACACATGCTCGCGGAGTGCTGCATCTCCTGAAACTAAGCAGCATGAGCTCACTCTCGCCACTTTCCTCCGACGCAGCACGAGATGCGCAAGAAGGAACGTGAGTACGAGCGACTCAAGCAGACGCTGCAGCAGTACATCGCCGAGAAGAAAGTGGCGTCGAGGAGGGCGACCGAGCTTCTCAATTCCGT